TGTTTGTGTCTGTGAAAGGTGCTATAGAAATAAAGTTTATTTACTTACTTACTTAAACCTGTGTGTAGTTTTACCATCATGTGACAAAAAACTTTCGACGTATGGCATCTTAACACTGATTGTTCCTCCAGCATCTGGCAATGAGCCCATGTACTGGTCCAGTTTCATGACGAGCAGCATGCAGCTCGCCAAAGAATGCCTCAGTCAGAAGCTCACTGATGACATGGGCGAAAGCTTTCAGCCTTTTGAAGGATTGGAGAAGTTTGCAGAGACGATAGAGACAGGTATGTTGTACACATGCTGGCTTATTTTTATTTTTTTAAGCCTCGAGCAAATTTAGCATCACATTATTAAGAGAGGTAATTAGTTTGTTTTTGTTGTCTTGTAGTTCTGAGGAGAGTCAAAGTGACATTTTTGGACACTGTTCTCAAAGTTGAACACATTCCAGAAAATTCCAAAACTGGATTTGCTCTTGAGATTCGAATCAGCAAGTAAGTTGTAGTTACAACAGAAAATGTCCAAAATATGAACATTTCTCAATTTATTTTCATTTTTTAAAATCTTATTAATTTAAGGACAAAGTAGTGGTTTTTCATTTTTACGCAATGAAATTCATTGACGTTTTTCTTACTGTTTTTAATGCTGCAAGTCCTAATTGCTCATTATTTTGTGGTTGTATTCAGGATCGTGTACTGTGATGAAACGGGGGACGAGAGCCCAAACGTTAACGTGCATCAGCCAACCTCATTCGCACATAAAAAGATGCAGATGGAAGGAATCACCGTTTTCTGGGATGAGTTCTCAGACGCATCTCGGGGTTGCAGATCTTCGCCCACTCCTTCGGTCGGTGCTGTGTTAATTTAACAACCGGCATAAAGGTTGCACCTTTAAAAGCCTTTTTAACTTCTAAATCCCTGGTTGTGCAGGAAACTGAGCCAAAACTTTCACCCAGCTGGAATCCCAAAATAATATGTGAGCCTCACCCGCAGTTTACGGAGCCTCTGTCCTCCACGACGCCATTTGAGCCCGTGCAGGTTGGGAGCCTCAGTGGTAAAATCGAGTTGTCTCTCACTCTGAAAAACAACCTGGCTCTGCCTGGAGCAAAGGTAAACATTCTTTACTGAAAACTCAAACATTGTAGGAAACATTATGATTGTTGCCGGTATCGGTCTTATTTTGCTCGTGTTGCTTCTCAGCTGGACGTTGTTGGACACATTGATACGCTACTCGTTCTGCTGTCCCCGTGCCAAGTTCATCTTCTTTTGGACATGTTTGGAGCGTTCTTCGGTGGACGTGAGCRTCTTGATTTATTTATTTTTAACATAAAAACATGTTCCCCAAACTGGTTTGGAGTGTGTCTAAATGAGTCATTGAACAAAACATGCCTTGTTTTTCTGTGTGAAGGTGCGCAGGACTGGACTAAAGACAAAAAGAACCGTCCCATGCAACAAGAGGACGAGTATCGCCTCCAGTTGGAACTGAACCGGTGTCTGAAGAAGGACACCGCCGTTGCAGGAACAGACTCGGACCTCTTCGACAGCCAAACAACCAAAACCGTGTCGAGTCGAGGTTGGAATGAAATACTGCAACTTTTAAATATCGTTATAATATTATATATCTGCTCTTTCATTATATGAACTCTGACTCGTCTTTGTCTTGTGCCAGTGACTCAAAATAATCTAAAGAAACATCAGATTCTTCACATTCAGGGGTGAATTATTGTTTAATGGGAAAATAACTTAAAACAACATTTCATGAGTGTAAATGTGACCCATCATATCGAAATGAGGATCAAGTCAAATTTGATCAAAATGACCTAACTACATTTTCAGATTCCTGCTTTAAAAGCTACATTTTGATACCTGGATCATTCTGATATCATCAGCTTATCCAGAGATAATTTCTTGTTCGTTATTTACGATAATACATCACTGTTTGAATGAATCCTAATTTTATGTAAATTTATTGAGTAATTTTTGATGTCAATAAAAAAAGCCTTAGTGTGAAATAATATTTGTGAATTAAGATTTCCCAGTTGGAAAGAAATGAAAACA